TGCCGTATAATGAATGTGTAGTGTAGATCTGCAGTAATGGAGTGCTTCTAAATCGGATAAAGGAGCTGACCAAGTCTTAGATGGCGAGACCGAATGCCTAGTCAGAGAGTTGGCTTTTCTGGCATTTGCTCAAATTGTATCCGCTGTTTGGAGGATGAGGAAGATAATTATGAAAGTTGAGGACCTTACTGTTGTGTCTGCAGCTGCAGTCCGCGAAAGAGAGCAGCGGAGGAAGGGAGACACGATTCAAATGCCGGTAGGTGTTCTCTTGGACGACGATAGAGGACGTCTTATGCTATCTACTATGTTATATGAGACAGATTGTATCTCGTTAAGTGGTGTAATTTGATCCTCGTGATTATGCACCGAAAAGAAGCAGCCACTTAGAAGGCAGGATTTATTTGTCCCATTGTGGCATATGCTGCACACCACACAACCTCATTTAATCCATTGTGCGGTTATGTACGATTGTCAGCCTCAGATGCTGCGACCCTGAGCTGATGTGTGGCAGACCGTAAAAGTCGGAATGGGGTGGGAAGTTTTACCCTTGAGGTTCTCACCAGACAACCCACCACATGGTATCCTGCCTTTTTATGCCACAACAACGTGCTCTTAATTACCGGCTGACCGAGTTTTCTATATCGACGTTTTTTAGACGCCCAGCCGGCCACGGTCCTGTCCCTTCGTTCAGATACAAGGCTAAGTAAACAGCCAGAACAGCCGCTCCACAGGATCGTGAGGCTCAATTTTAAGGCCGTCGTGCCGTTCTCACGCTGTCCCGCCGCAACTTCGAGTCCCTCACAAAACACACCAGCCGACACCGCATAATGAACGTTCCGCTCTGGAATACCCGTCCACCTAGAACCGTGTCATGTGCGACCGGGAGCCGAGAGGGCGTGTAGGTGGGAGGGAGGGGGGGGGGGGGGGGAGTGATTCGCGTGTCGCGCCGGTCCATAAAGTGGCGAAACAGGCGACTGCTGGGGTCAAATGGCCGGACGCGGCGGGGGCGGCCGCGCGATGACCTTGCTGCCACAGGCCATTCGCGCGCCGCTGGCTTTTGTGGGCCTGCGCTAAGGTCGTCGGCCGCCCTGACCCGACACAGGGCGTGGTCACAAGGTCAGGCGGTGCCGCAGGCGACGCCGGACGTGGGGGGGGGGGGGGGGAGGCGGCCACGGCACGAGCGCCGCCGTCTAATCCGCTTTAGCGGGGGGGGGGGGGGAGCAGGGGGTTACAGACCACCGGGAGTGAACGCCATTCCAGTGCTGCCACTGCGCCATCGTACCAGCTGAGGCGGAAATGAAACGATGAGATCACCGATTTTAGGAGGTGATTCACTCTTGGGTGATTGCTCATCCTTTATTTAGCTGCGATTGGGGCGGAGCTGGTGACGGGCTGAGGCGTCTTACAGGGCGTGGTGTGCCTGCAACCCCCATATTTGACGCAACTGCGTCAGCCGGCAGCGAATCGTTGGCAGGTGGCTGAAAGAAGTTTACGTAAATGATTCCACACAGGTGGACGGGGTCGTGAGTCAAAGATCAATCATTGATATACTAGCTCTGCGCGGAATGTCGACACATGCCGGATCTAGACCCCTCGCAGGTGGCGTTATCGCCTTCCTCGCCGCCCGCTGGCGCCTACTTTGAAGTCTCGCGGTCGAGGTGCGGCCAGGTGCGGGCTGAGAGTCTTAGCTGCCGGCCTCGCCCCTCAACCCGGCGAGACACGGCTCGCTGTTTTAGGCCGGTACGAGTTGAATGGCTGGGACAGTTGGTGACTCCGGCGATTGGCAAAAAAGTATTCCCTAAATGGGCTCAGGGTCATGGCTCGTGTCTGTTATGTAGCCTGATCGGTGGTGCTAAAACGTGCTGGCCAATGTCAGTCGCGTTCACATAACTGTTGGTGCGACGCTTGGTGGCTGGAATTGGGACACAACGAATGTCGAGGTAAAGTAAAGTGATAGTGTCGATGTGATACGCGCATGCATGGTCGAAACAGTTGCATGCTCTTTCGCCTTTCCCACAGAGACTACTCAGGCAGCCATCCAACACGGAGATGATCCAGCTCCAGGGGTGCAGTGTCCTAAAACAAGTTGTGAGAGAGGCTGCGCAGCGAAAAATGACAAAATATTCCCACGAAATTTACCAAAAAGTTGTTTTTCTTCTCAGATTTGATTCACCTCCTTCTCAAAGCTGGGGGGGGGGGGGGGATGGGCTGGAGCACCTCGACTGAATAGGAAACTACATCCCTGCCCGGCCCCCTCCATCCGGAAGGAGGGAGGGACGCCAGGTCTCCAGAGATATCCCAAGTGACGACGTGACAGTCCTGTTTCCAACGCTCGCTCGTAGCCAAAATTCGGCCTACCTCAATCAATAACGCCCATGATAAATGCACACAATGCCTGACAACTTCCAGACTTTACTCTTCGAATGATCCTATCTAAGACACGTCTAATTGCGGGCAAGGTCTGATATCTAAACAGCATGCATACCCACTTCGCCCACCTCGCTCTGATAAGCAGCAGCCTCTGGCATGAAAACAATCGGGCACAGGGCCCTTTTTAAGCCCGCACAAACACACGTAACGCTATGTTAGGCTGCCACCATTCGTTTCGCACCGGGTGGAGGAGCCACAAACCCTGCATCAACATGGCGCGTGAGGTGGCGCACGCGAGCGAACGAAGCGGCGATCGAGGCGCGTGCGCAAACAGCATGAGAACCGTAATGTTGTTGCTGCTGCTGGGCACCGTTACACGATCAACAGATGAGGCATCACACCGGCTGTTTTGCTTGCGGTATCCGGCCATCTGGCGACGGCGCTCTCGAGACAAAAAGAAGACGGACAAGACGAGAGCGTTCTGCTTGGCTATGAGGGCGTGGGCAGGGCTCACGCGCCCGAGGTGTCGTGGTTTGCGCGGCCCGTTTTTGCTCGGCCGGTCCAGACAGCAGACGCCCTTGCCTGCTCCGGACTCCGTGCCGGCAGCCCGAGCCCACGCTTGCCGTGAAGGTGGAGGAGGCACGACGGCAGCTTTGCCTCTTCGTGATTGTCGGAGCTGACGCTGCAATTTCCTGCCAAATTCCCGCGGATGTCTACGGCATTCAATGGCTCATCAACAACGCCAGGGAGGACCCATCAGCCGCCCGCCATTGTGTTAGCAAACAAGCGGCGGCGTAGGGCGCGGGTCAGCGGCGTCAGCCTTGGCGGCGGCGTCCCCACAATGGACAGGCCGAGCTTGGTCAGCCCGAGGAGGGTCACCGCCACACCTTCGGTCGGACACGGCAGCCGGGAGAGGGGGGGGGGGGGGGGGGGCGGTGCGCGGGAGAGCGACCGGCCGGAAATATCAAGGCTGAGACGTCGCGGGGAGGGTGTGGGGACCGCTGCGGCGGCGGCGTCGCAGGTGCGAGTCCTGGGAGACAGAAACCGCACACGCCGAGCCGGTCTGATGCACGCGCAGGCTGAAGGACATGGAGCGGTGATGCGTGGAGCCGGAGACCCCGCCTGCCGGCACGCCCCGAGCGACAGGCGCTAACGGGAACCAGCCAGAGTTGCGCAAGAGATGTTTTCGCTTCCGTTTTCTCACGGGAGGTGGTGGATATGACATTGCATCCAATGGATTAAATACAATGTGAAATTGCAAAAGAGAGAAGTTTATGCATAGCGTGAGTGCAAGTGAGGTCGCTGTTATTTGGGATCTGAGCGTCACTCTACCAGTGCTACATGACAACAAACGAGGTAAATTTAGCAACGACAAAACCCAAACAAACATGGAGCCTCTCCGTCAAATGCAGTGCAGACAAGCAAATGTAAGAAGTGTCTGCAGTCGTGTTGACACTAGATATATTTTCTATAAGTGCTAACTTTCATAACAGGCCATCAAGTCCAGATAGCGCCGTGAGTTTAGGGCGAGGCCACAACACGCCAAGTATGGTTGACGAGTCATTGTTGACCAAGATACACCACATGTCAGGAGGGCGACATCATTATCAGACCATCCGTTGTAATCAGATAAGACGCAGGTATTTAAGTGTATGGTCCCCTGAGGTAAAATTTCATAGCGGGTAGCGATGACGTCATGTTTACCCCCCCCCCCCCAGTCAGTAAATGCTAGTGCCATAGTATGATTGGGACATTGCACCATGCATCGATATTTAGTTATGTTGAGGAGCAGCTCCACTAATCGAACCTTGATGATCGGGTCGTTTGCACCAACATGACGAATGGGACCATGCTGCACCAACGTGGCCATGAAATATACTATGAGTTGGCTGTATAACAGAAACATCATGCAACTGATGGCAATGCCCCTTATTAGGTCATTTAGAGCACCAGAAGCCAGTTTCTCAAAACAGAAATTCGTATATTTGTTGCGTAAATCGTACATGTTTAGCGTATAATCGTATAATTTAGTTTCTCAAAGCAAAAATACGCGACTTGCAACTACAATCTACGACACTAAATAAATACACAGAAAAAGTACAATTTACGACACAAATACACACAAACAATCTTGCATGAGGTTCTCAAAGCCAAGAACAAATGCACGACAGAGCTTAATTCTGACAAGACCTTGATGAACTTGGCAATGCAATCAACGAAAGCATTTGTGTCGTAGATTCTACTCTTGAACTTAGGATTGTTACTTATTGAAAGACAAATTGCTGAAGAAACAAGCCTAAACGTGGGTAGGACGGCAAAATGAAACTGAGAGGATTTTCTCAAGCCGGCCAGATCGTCAAAGGTTGCGAAACTAGCAAGCTGCATAGTGTCACACATTGGACACACTGAATACATGCACTCGATTGGCCTTTGTATGAAGTGTTTGCCACTTCATACAAAGGCTGGCTACGTTGAGCATAACGTTAGAAATACCAAGGAATGTTTACCGGAGTTTTCAGATGGTGTTCAAGGCCACTAACCCGGTCATCGGATGCTGCTGTGTCAGAAATGATGCTTGATGAACGTCATAATTGTACAAATTAAACACTAACGACGTGTGATTGTTTCAGACACTCGAGCGCCGAAGGCTGTTGCTAAGCTGAACACGTTGGTCATTGGCCCAGATCACTTCGAGCCCGTCAGTGGTAAGTCCTGCCCTCCATTTCGTAAAAGGTGATGTCTATGGAAATGAGCCAGTGCGACTTATCACTCAAGACGTTTGTGTTGCGAGTACATCGATACAGACATAAATTCAAACAGAGCACGATTGCGACTTTTGTTATCCAGTTAAAACTCAGTCGCGACGAATTGCCCTTGTTGTTTCGAGCATCCTGCGCTACCTAAACTCTTCGTGCCATTACGACATGAATGACGGTCCGCCCTCTGCTGACTTTGATCTTAATATCTCGACGTTTCGAATGCAACCAAGCTTACATCCGAACCAATTACATAATAGATATGTTATATGTTACATCCGCATCCAATGTGGCCACGAATGTGGCAGAAGTATCTGGCTAGATATTTCCATGTTTGCTGTCTCGATTTCTTCGCCTAATTTGCTGTTGATCAGCTTATCATATCAGGCACACCAGTTTCAAAAGCTGTCATTTTCACCTTGTGCGAGACGTGTTTACGGACGCCATACAGCACACGCTCGGAGTAGAACCCTAACGGGTCTGACAGCATAAACTGCTTATGTATATGTTTACCATAACTCGTAACGGTGTGCAGGGTAGGTATCACGCGTCGCACGCAGCTTGTTTGCTTGCCTTATGTTCATTTGTGGTGTTGTGTTTCGCTGTACGTAGAGAAAAGCGCCCCTGCAATCCATAAAGTGTGTGGAGGGGGGGGGGGGGGGCGGGGGCTAGTAAGCAGAACCAGACTCCCGTCGATCACAGCTAAATTACAACGCTGCACCTACCGTGAGCCACTGCTGATTTGCACCAGAGCACCGTCGGCTACTCAGCTGCTCACGTATTGGCTGCGTTTGGTGAGCCTCGGTGCGTATTGCGTGTCAATATGGCGTGATGCGGGTCCGCACGCCCAGAGTCTTGCTCACTTCGGGCGGAGCGGCTGACGGTGATGTGTGGGGGTGCGGTGGCGTGTTAATCTGATGGCTCGCACCTGGGCCGGATCTTGCGTTCAAAGGCAGTAGGCAAAGGACGTTTCATACACCGAAGGGTTCGTCTTCATCTCGGGATTTCGATGCATATTCTGTTGGCCATCCGTCTCCCCTTTTTACGCGCGTTCTTTTAGCCAACCGTTCATATTTTACGCCAATGCCATTTCGGTTAGATTTGGCTTGATCGCCCACTTAGGGGACGGTCCCGCGTGACCTGTGTCCATTGAAGCGTGGCGTTTAAAGACCAGCGTTTCAACGTAACGAACCCAGGCTTATGGCGTACAAACAACAATTTTGTCAATTCCTACATGGGTTGAAATTGTGAAGCTGCTTTCAGAAATCATATTTCTTGTCTGAATCATTAAACATACCTGTGGGCTTTGACGGGCCTACATTAGTCTTTTTAAAGATTTTAAAGATCTGTAGCGTTTGTACCATCAACACCATTTGTTGATCACTCATGCTTGTCATCTTCAGAAAAAAAACATGGCACTCGTTTTCAACACATGGAATCGGCTAAATGCAGCCTAACTGAATATTACAGGCGTCTTTGAGAGCGGCCAGAAGCGTCCCGTTGCGCTTTTGAAAGACCTAAATTGCCTGAAATTACTGTCAGTGATTGAAACCACTGGCGAAACATTCCGGAAGAGGCTGCCTGACGGGGATCGGCGCCGCCAATTGTTCCGCTTTCTGCTGCCGAGTCAGCTCACACGCCCAGCGCTCAGACGAGTGCGTTAACCGATCGCTGACCGGGTATTTGTGTCCTTTCACTGGGCTGGATGGTGAGCGCTCTGTTCAAGAGAGAGAGAGAGAGAGAGAGAGAGAGAGAGGGAGAGAGAGAGAGAGAGGAGAGAGAGAGAGAGGAGAGAGAGAGGAGAGAGAGAGGAGAGGAGAGAGAGGAGAGAGAGAGGAGAGAGAGAGAGGAGAGAGAGAGAGAGAGAGAGAGGAGAGAGAGAGAGAGAGAGAGAGGGGGGGGGGGTGAGACCAAGAACAGTGGCGGTGACAGCCGGCAAACTTGTCTGTAAAACAGCCGGGGAAGCGAAACTCGCCCGCGCTGGACAAACTGACGACCAAATGGTCATTTATTGGGGTCCCGAAATGTAGGGACACTTCCTTCAATGTGTCAATTTTCGACTGAACATTGGGGTCCCGAAATGTAGGGACACTTCCTTCAATGTGTCAATTTTCGACTATATTTACGTTTTTGATGATCGTGACAGCCTTTTCCTACCAAAATACCAGTGACGAAGAGAGAGGCCAATGGCACCCGCCAATCAGGACAAGGGTGAAACAAAGGCTTATTATCATTGGCGTACACAAATTCACTTACCATGAAGCAATGCTGTCATCACCGGTAATATCCCAATCAAACAACCAGTTTCACTGCACAGAAGCTCGACGCGCGTGACCCTGACCTCCAAGGGTTCCGCTGACCGGCAATTGACCTCTGACCTCGTGTGACCCGACAGCGACCCCGACCGTGACCCGGACGAAGCTCACCATCTCCTCGGAGCCGCTGGAGCCGGTCAGCCGACTGGTAGTGGACGCCGGTGCCGGCGATCTCTCCACCAAAACCATCTACGGCTTCCTCGACTTCATCACCACCGTTGGCGACACCGTCATGGTCTTCACGCCCGGCGCCAAAACGCAAGGTTTGTGGGGGACACCTCTGCACGGCCCTACCGAAACTACTGTGCGCTGGAGACGTCTGGAGTTAATGACAGAAAATCGTGGCGTTTAAGTAGTTAGAGGCCAGTTTGGCATGGCATTATGTCTGAGGAAACAACGAGTGAGCTGTGACGTGCAATGGGACGCTTTTTCTAGCGGGCGGTGAAAGGATGGCTTTGCGCGATTGCAAAACCCATGTTTTCCTGCCAACACCAGGGTGACACGTAAATTATCTAGTTGTGAGCAGAGTCAGACAGAT